TATATATATATATATATGCTGCTGCCATACTCCTCATGTACTCTCAGAGCTGCTTCTACTACTACTTCTTCTTCAAGTCTCATCAGCAGCATTACCTTGACATAAACTTTTGTTTTTCCGCACCATGTCATCAGAAGTTTTATCAGTAATCGTCTACACAGGAAGGTGTGTGTGTGTCAGCAATTCTGTTGTAATTCTGTCTATTGGATATATTATGGAGTAGGAGGAGGGAGTTTGTCAGCTCCCCCCACAACAGCATTGTATTGAGTAATGGTATCTTCTCTTTTCTACAGCAGTCTTCTTCCTGAGGTGATGTCTTATTGCCTAGAATGTGAAACAAAATGATGTGGTGTACCCCTCCATGATGGCCAACATACAGGCTACTGAAACATCAGTAAAATCAAGTCTAGTGCCCAACAGAATTTTTTTTTCAAATAAATGGGTTAGCTTTTTTTACTATCTATAAAGTAGTAGTGAATACATTCTGTCGCAGCATGTAAAACAAGTCTGCATTAATGGTGGTATGTTGTCATCAAACCTGTCTGACGATGCAGCTGAAATGTTATGCTCAGGTGCAGTTCCTTAATCTCCTGAAAGTCATTTAACTGGTTGGTCCTCCTGAAGAGAAGTATAACATGAATCCAGTTTACAATAACCTCCTTTTGTTGAAAACCTACACCTGAACTGAGCCAAATGAGGCTTTGACATTATGCAAGAATTAGAGGATTTTTTTCACAGTATCTTTAGTCCGTTGCCATACATCTGACACAGTGTATCCCTGTTGAGACAACTCAGTGGTGAATTTCTCAAGGACGTGTGTCACCTCTCTAATCCTTTGTGCAGTCTGTCAAAACAAACATCGAAGTTACAAAATGTTGACCCAAAAATACAAATTACATTGAGGTGGTTGGTACCTTGATGTATCTTTTGACCAATGTCTGTTCAAGGTTTTCTGCCCTCTGCTTGTTCCAGCCAATAGTTTGGATGTTGAGTGTCTACGTGATCACACAATGCATATTAATGCATTTATATTATTTTTCCTCAGGAAGCTCAGGTCCTTTGACGTTTGCAGTGAAATGCTGCATGTTTTATCAGTCAGTGGTGGCCAGTGTACTCTTTTATGCTGCAGTCTGCTGGGGCAGCAGCATGTCAGACATGAACACAAAGAGACTGGACAAGCTGGTCAAAAAGGCTGGGTCTGTGCTTGGCAGGAGTCTGGACCCGCTCAGGACTGTTGTGGAGAGATGCATGCAATGCACTGCCATCAGGCTGTACAACACCTCAGCTAAAGGAAGTGGACTAATCTAATTATTGTTTATTTATTGTAACGTTAACGCCATATTTTAGAATTTACTCTTGTTGAAATGGGGCACCAGTCCTCTGGGAGGACAACAATGAATTACTTCATTGCCAAATTTATCAATCTCATATCGGAAGCCATGACTTCTCGATTCAATGGATCTCCAGTCTCTACGTCAAAAGAATACAACAGGACAACAACTGGGTGTAAATAAAGGAGTTTATTAACTAAACTACTATGTACAGAGTAAATGCAAGTTGCAATAATCAAAAAGATGAAAATAATAATGAAATGAGCAGTGTGATGAATTGGCAATGGTGGGAGAGAATATGTTATGGCTATACACTATGGCTATACAGCTAATGATACTACATCTACGAATTAGGTTTGATGATTAAATATTACTATATTTCGACATCAACCCAGTCATGAGCAGAGTGTTAAGACCGGCCTACTGTGAGTTGCGCTGTGGCTGAAGACCCCCAGCGGGAACCCAGGTAGCTGTGGTTGCCATGGTAACCCTGGAGACGCGGGATCTAGGTGGATTCTCCTGGAGGCCGTGTCCCGTTATCACTGTGACAGATTCTGCCGGCGTCTCAGCGATTCAGCTCTGGTGGAGTTTGCCAGGAGACTTTCTGTCTCGGGCACTCTTGATTTCTGCTCGGCTTCTCTGCAGGCAGTTGTGCAGATGTTATCTGCCGGTGTCTCTTGTGGGCTGATGTGAAATAAACTCTAATGCTCTTCACTTTGG